GTTGTCCGCGTAATCCGTGACCGAAATCCTCACAAACAGTGGCATTGATTTGGGGATCACTTCCCGCACCCGACGGGCCGTCTCTAAGCCGAAGCGCATTCTGTTTTCGAGTGAACCGCCGTAGTTGTCAGTTCGTTGATTAGACTTCGGAGATAGCCATACGCTTCCGAGATAACCATGGGCGTAATGTAATTCAATTATCTATATACATAAAATACAAAATTAATTATTATACATAATTAGTAATTTCTCTAACAAGATTTTATACGTACTATAAATATAAATGACAGTGTTTTACATACACTTTACCTGAAACCCAGCCTTAACAGAGCGCACAGCCGCGGATACATACGCGCGCTGAAGTACTTTAATGTCCACACCTGTGGCCTCTTCGGGTACTTTATCAATATCACCGCCAAATGGTATAGCACTGGGAGCTATGGTCGGCCAACCGCCTTCACTGTCTGGCAATGATCTTTTGGCGTTTGACCAAATGACTGGTGTACTGCCTTTGCGGCCCGAGTGGGCCAGTTGTATGGCAGGGACGGCACCCTGTGATTTAATGAGGGTAGTAATCCGGCGCCAACCCTCTACCTGTTCGTCATTCCAGATGCGAGTGTCGGCCGGTGTGATGCGGCCCCGGAGCTCCACTGCCGTAGCCTCCGTCATAACCAGTCCGGCACCACCCAGGGCAAATGAACCATAGTGGGCTATGTGAAAATCATTGGGCATACCGTCCACGGCTTGCCACGTGACCATTGATGATACACCGATACGATTTTTTAGTGTTACCCCTTTTGATTTTTAGAGGTGAAAATAGAAGTGATTGTTGCTTTTTATTTTGATTACTCATAATGATTATTTACTTTGTTAATTTCAGTTATGAATTATAAACAAATTAAGAATATAATTTTCTGTTTTCATTAACAAGCTTTTATATAGTGTTTGAATCGCACATAATTTTTTGAAATGTTGAAAGTTCTTAAAATGTTTTCGGCACATAATATAATTAATTGCCAATTTAGAGTGTTAATAGCTTTCTAACTAAAATATTTATCTTAAATAAAAGTACTTTTCAGTGCATTTAAAGTGCGTTTCCTACGGTATCAGGAATATGGAAAAATAGTTGTATATCATCAACTAAATATTTTATCAAAATATAATATTTTTGTATAATAACTGTATATCATATCATAAATAACTCAGAATTATAAAATAGCTAAATGTAAAATGTTGATATATACAGATGTGTGTTATTAGACTTAATGTTTAAGTACATCATGTAACAGTTCATAATTAGATAATAGTTGATTTTGTTTGAATAGTGTAATTACAACAAATTAATTTGGACAATTGGGGCATTGACAAATGGTGTTTTACACAAAGTATTTGCAATCTGTGTGTGTGTGACCACAAAACTAGCCATAACTCGGCTGCCTCTGGCTATAGGCAGACTTTGATGATAAATTATACATCACCTGCATCTACTGGATCAGATCACAACGAGACAATGGTTAGACTAGAATGTTGTCCTAAAATATTCCCGATTTAATCATATATCCAAAATTATTAATTAATATGTTAACTCCATTATCATAATCTTGCCATGTAACCATGCACTAATGTGTGAAATAGACATTAAGCCCTGACTTATTATTATTATCATAATAATGTGAAATAACTACTAATATAATTTTTTATAGTAGAGTATACTATTAATAATAATAATTAATAATATTCTGTAATATATGATAAGAATAAATAAATTATATAAAAATATGATATATTCATCAGAATGTAGGTAGTTTTCTGTTAGTTAATCAACTATGTATATTTTTAATAATTTTAATTGTCATTTTGCATGTTTTTACGCCAATTGTAAAAGCCGTGCCAACCAATTGAATAGTCATAAGAAACGTGATATTTAAAGGTGTGTTCGGTGGCCAAGAGGTCAGCGGCAGTGTATGGCCAGTGAGGGTTGTTTAGTAGCGCCCGACCTATCAATACAAGTGTTGCGCTGTTGTCCCGAAGCAACGCCTCGGCCTTCAAAGGGTCAACAATTTTACCAACAGCTGTGGTGGCGATACCGGCCTCTGATTGGATCTGAGCCGAGGCCTTGTGCTGTACATCCGATGGATTGAGTGTAGAATACATAATATCGTTGACTACACCCCCGGAGCTGCAGTCGATGACATCGACGCCCACAGCCTTTAACTGTTTGGCGAACTCTACGCTGTCGTTGACATCCCATCCGTTGTCCGCGTAATCCGTGACCGAAATCCTCACAAACAGTGGCATTGATTTGGGGATCACTTCCCGCACCCGACGGGCCGTCTCTAAGCCGAAGCGCATTCGGTTTTTCAGTGAACCGCCGTATCGGTCGGTGCGTTGATTACTAATAGGCGACAGGAATGTGCTTATCAAATAACCATGTGCAAAATGTAGATCAATTATCTAAATCCACAATGTGCTAACTGATAAATACTGTATGTTGACTTTTTTGCATTTCATACCTCAAAGCCAGCGCTAACCGCTCGGACGGCCGCCGACACAAACGCCTGTTGCAGTACTTCTATGTCGTCAAGTGTGGCCTCTTTGGGCACTTTATCAATACCATCGCCAAATGGTATAGCACTGGGGGCTATAGTAGACCAACCATTTTCACAATCTGTCGCCATGCTTTTAGAACTGTACGAAAGCACAGATGTACTGGCTTTGCGGCCAGCGTGCGCCAGCTCAATGCCCGGCACCGAACCCAACGATTTGATCAGGGTGGTAATCCGGCGCCATGGCTCTACCTGTTCCTCATTCCAGATGCCGGTGTCGGCCGGTGTGATGCGACCTCGAGGCTCCACCGCTGTAGACTCTACCATAACCAGCCCGACACCACCCAGGGCAAATTGGCCATAGTGGGCTATGTGAAAATCATTGGGTATACCGTCCACCGCTTGCCACGTGACCATTGGTGATACACCGATACGATTCTTGAGTGTTACCCCTTTTATTCTTAGGGGTGTAAACAGTAGCGACTGTTGCTTATTATCCTGAGTTTGTATGTTATTTTTAATCATACTAGCGTTAATTATTAAATACAAAAATATGATTAAACGTGGTTTATTACACGTAATATATACTTATTGTTGGTATTGTAGTGTTTTATGAGTAAATTATTCAACCCATATGGTTTTATTACGTGATTGATATAATAAAATTAATTAGCTATATATTAGAATTTAAAATTTATAGAAATTGTATTTTATTCTGAAATTATATATCATTTAATTTATATTTAAATCTACAAATTAAAGATTAAACGCTAGTATCGGTGTTGCAATAGAATAGTATTATAACATTGTTACAAAATCAATTTCTATAATTAAGATTTTATTATAATTTTATTCATCAACTTAATAAATATTATAGGGTATATTAATTATAAATTTTTGAATCCATCGCGTAATGCTTTGATATTTTCATATTTTTTCTGCCTCAATGATTGACTTAAATCCATGCCATGTATTATAGAGAAAAACGGATAAATCTTCACAGCTTTGGCGTAGTTTGACATATATTTTAACGCCTATTAAAAAATAATCATGTAATATCTGTAATAATAAAAACCAAAATATTGTCAAGATCAATTTG